AAAACTATGAATTTTTAAAATATGTATAATTGCCTTTTTGTTTAAAATGAGAGAGAGAGAGTGAGGGAAAGAGAGAGAATCTAGAATAGTTTAGAAAGAAAAGATTTTGTTTTAAATTATTTTATAGATTTTAAGAATAATAAATTGATACTTATAGGTGATTAATCGTGGTGGCATCGAAGGAAGGACTAGCAAGAGGAAATCAGATTCCAAACTTCTGTAAGTATACATGATTCTTTATTACAGTAATATTTTTGTTTCTCTCCAGTTCTTTGTTTTGAAAGTTCCAACATGTTCATGCAATCTTTATGATTAATTTTAGATCATGATTTTACTACTCTGTTCAAATGATTGATCATGCAAAGTTTATACTATATTTTATGACATTATATGATAAAGATTATGTAATTTATGAGATGAAAAGATATGATATGATATGAATGCTATTTGAATGCTTGTATGTGTATGTTGAAAGGATGGAGTTCACCCCCTTATGGTACTAGCTGGGGACGCTGTACTCGTGCACGATAAAATGGTAAAGGATATGGAAAAGGAAAATGGTAAAGGAGTACCTTTATGGTACAGACGGTGACTCTTGTGACGGTTGTATTATATACGAAAAGTGAAAGTTAAATATATTGATATGAATATGGAAAGGAAAATGAAAGATATGGTTTATGATATGATATATTTAATGTTATGTTAGTATGAAATCATTTTTATATTATGTTCATATGAAATTGGCATTTAGCATATTGTTCAGTTGCCTTGTTTACTGTAGTTTAGAATTGTGTATTACTTACTGAGCTTTAGCTTAATGTTAGTTGTTAACATTTTCAGGTAAGCTTAAATTAATCAAATTAGTAGAAGGGGCGGCAATGTTTATCGTAGGGGAGGAGATCAAGAAGAAAGGTAATTACGAATTTATTGAGGTTTATGTTTATGTGTTTTCAATTTGATGTTTTAGAGGCTCTTTCAATTATTATGGAAATAGTTTTAGAGATTAAAAATTTTTAACATACCGTCCGACCTTTGTTCCCGCCTCGCCTGTGCGAGCTCACCGGGCCGGGTCGTGACAGATAATGTTGATACTCTTAATTACTTTAAAATAGTTACTCCTTATCCCTGTCATAAATAATATCAATGCCTCACATCAACATCAAATTCAATGACCATCATCGACGACAACATAGATGCTTGTTGTCGCCATCAAGTTTGATGGACTTTATCATTAATATTTTTTACCATTGTCATTGTCAAATTCGGTCGGTGCTTATTGTCAACACTAACATCGATATTCATCATCACTAATAACTTCCATACCTACCATCAACACTATCATTGATATTTACTTGCCAACAATACTGAACATTATCACATCATCATTAGCAAAAAGGCCATCATCCCCACCGCTAGTCACCATCACCATGATTGATACCCACAACTACAACTAAGGTCGATGACTTCCATCAATACAAATCAATGATCAAAACTAAATTACAACTCCGATGTCACAAGATTTTTATTCAATTCTAAGCCAAATATTTTCTTTATCACCATAAATGTTCATCATACGCCAATTATAAAACATGCTTATATAATATATTCATTAATAATTGACGTTTTTCATATCCTTGATTCCTGTTAGAGACTTGGCAGTCAAGCCCATTAAGCTATAGCGGATCCGGGTCCGGTCCGAGAAACATAGAAAATCCACATTTGCGGTGCATTTTATAATATTGGAAAATATCTGTGGCATTTGCATAAAGTTGCAGAAAATTGAATTAGGGTTTCTACTCGGTGTCGGACGATATAAGAGCCTCCATATCGGTTAGGGTTTGAAGTTGCCGTCACCCTCGGATTTATCAGAGCGAGAGCAGTTCCTGAAGAATTTGGAAATGGTACTCAATATTGTGTTTTCTCGATTTAATTTTTATCCCGAAATTTTTTTCATGTAGTTGTATTTATCCTTTCTTTATTTTATACTTTTGATAATGTTCGAAGATTTAATTCGAATAAGAAGACTGGATGATGAACTTTTTTCACATGTTCTCGTTGATAATCTATTAGTGTTTAGAAATGATTAACGGAATTCCTGTTGATGATAAATGATCGGTTAAGCCATATCGTAATCAATGATATATGGACTTTGAGTTTTTAAGGTATGATGATAATCGCTGAAATATTATCGAATTTTTGGGTGTTGAATTCTCTCTGCTGCATTGAACTTGCTTGGATTAAGTGCATCTTCTGCTTGTGGTAATAGAATTGAAAAATTAATCTCCGTTCCAAACTGTCTGTTCGTGTTGCCCTCCGCAGGGGATTAATCTAGATATTCTGTTGATTGTTGATTCAAATTTGCCTGTGGGTGACACTTGACCTTAATAACAAATTTAATTATTCAGAACAAGAGAATAAGATGAATGAATGAGAGTGTGAAGACTAGATGAGAAGCTGAGTGATCTTTGTGAATGGTAAAAAATGACATAAAGTTTGAAATATATTTATTCATCTCTTATTTATAGGATTAAGAGAGTTATGTGAAACAATACACCTAAAAAAATGATAACTGATAGGAAAAATAAATAATGAATCAAATACATAGACTATGCTGAAAGGTAACATGAAAGATACTCCCTTTGACGTTTCTTGAAATGCGATGATGAGTTCTTTGACTCTTCATGAGTGATTGCCTTGGGCGAGTTTTCAAGAGTGAATGCCTTGGGCAAATCTGTAAAGTTAGAGTCCCCAAAAAACCGACAAGTCTCTTAGACGAAGGTGGTTGTGAACCAAAGACAAATATATTTGATGCTGCCATGATTGTGGGCTCTATAGGTTTTGTGCCTCCAATAGCTTGGACTAGGATGTCCTTTGAATACATATGGCATTAGTGGGAAAAAAGCTGAGAAAGCTAAGTTTTTCTATGGCGAGTGCTTTTTAGGGTTAAGGCTTGTTGAGACTAGTTATCTGGCCAAATTCTCCGTGAATAGGTGCATAGTTGATCTTGTTCTCAAGGGAACGGCTCATATGTTATGAGGTCCACGAAGGCAAATATGCGCTTTTCCATAGCGTAGTTTTGACAAATCCCCTCTCATGGTGAGGATTGGGTTAAATGAGTGTTTCTTCTGGCCTTGCAGCCTAATAAGCTCTGCTGAATCAATTTCCACTGAAAGCCTCTTCTATTGCATTGGTGGAATCAACTGCTTTTGGATTAGATGCCTGCACTGTTATTTGCATTACCATTTTTTTAAAGATATGTAAGAAATATTATGTTGATAAGTGTAATTTATGATTTATGTTACTATGCTATGTGCGGCTTAAACTATCATTAGTAAGATATCAATTTTAGTTGTATTTTCTTGTGGACAAGTTAGTTAATCCTTTTTAGACAAAATTATATACCAAATACTGGTTTTCTGATATTGAAATTTACTTGTTTGTTGGCACAGCCGAAGCAGATCCATGAGATCAAGGATTTCCTTCTCACAGCTAGAAGGAAGGATGCTCGCTCTGTAAAGATCAAACGGAGCAAAGGGGTTGTGAAGTTTAAGGTCTGATGTTCAAAGTATCTTTACACACTATGTGTATTTGACTCGGAGAAGGCTGATAAGCTCAAGCAATCTCTACCTCCAGGTAACTTACTAATATGACATTCATACAATTGTTTAATAATTGCTGTAGTAAATAGTAATAATTTTGGAATATATGGAGGGATCTTTATTTATTTTTGTTTAATTTTGCAGGTTTGAGCGTACAGGATCTGTAAAGGCTAGAAGTGTCTGTCAGACTTTTGATGAATCGTTCCTTGCCTCTCACAGGTTTCTGTTGTTAGGGAATTCAACTCTTTTAATTGAACTATATAAATATGATTTTTACCCGGATGAAACTGCTTACATTTCATCTGTGTATTCTTGTTGAGCCTAACTTCTTGCCTTTTTTTTTTTTCTTAGCTTTTCTGTTGGTTAAGTTTTTTCTAACTTTTGGGAAATAATGCTCGTCTTTTATGCATATTTTTTTGTTTATAATTAATTTTTATGCATTAATTGATGTTGGCATGTAGATAAAGGAATAGCTGTAGATTTTAGCACATAGATGAAGTAATATCATGCTAATTTCTGTTCAATAGAAGATGTATCAATAAAATATGAAAGCATTAAATAGGAGTAAAGTTAGATTTATGATTGATAAGTCGTCAAGCATGAATCTCGATGCTTATTTGAATTGAACACATCTATAATTAAATTTAGGACTATACAAAATCTGATTTCTATAAGCTTATAGTAAAATCGATTGGCACTATCGATTGGCTCGACAAGATGAACCTAACGACACAAAAAAATGATTTGATTTGAGTCCAAATAAACTCAAGATCAATAGCTTAAAATATAGTTGAAAATTTTTGGGATATCAATTCGATGAACAAATGATCTTCATATTAGGTGTGCTTATAGTTAGAGCGAGTGTCTTGATGAGATGAATCCAACAAGTTCAAGATCGTTTAATTCTAATCACATTCAGACACGTAAATGTTGAACAAGCACTTTTATGATCAAGGGAATTAGTTGTTGAAACTTGTTAATTATGAATTAAGT